CCATTTCAGTTATTAAGGTTAAAATACATATAGTCATGTATACGGATACAATTCTCGAATACAGGATAAAATGACAATTTGTGCAGCCTATGACTGGGGGTGGGTCTTTCAGATAATAACGCAAACGCTGGCATAAAGAGATTATTAAATAGCCGGAGTATGCGGAGGAAGCCTATGTTAATTGTGATTAGGGTTCAGACAGAGCATGCTGTTTGGGCTAATTTGCATATGTCCCACCGTGGCATTCTGGGAGAGTGCCATAAAGACAGTCTTTCAGAACTACTGTATTTGAGGCGGCTATTTCCTGATATTTTTCAGAGGATATGTACATTATGCATAGAGGTATACTGGAGAATTTACTTTTCTGTGAAATTTCAACACAGCCAGTGTGAGTATTTCAGAAATATTTTATCTTTATGATAAACTAATTTTGGAAGGGAAGGGAGGTGACTGTGCCACTTTAACAATGTACCTGCACACAGTGCACAGTGCTATGGGACTATTTTCTGATGTCCCAGTCAGGACTGTGTCAATAAAGTCGGAACTGTTGGCAAGTATGCAAAATTGCACTAAATTGAGAATATGTGCGGTAACCATAAAACAATGTACAAAGCTATACTTTGAGATTTATTTACTAAACACTGAAATTGTATAGAATTGAAAATCAAATCTAAAAACGGCGTCTCACATAGCTAATCTGTGCCTGCAGGTGGATTGAATAATCTGTCTGTATCAGCTATTTTAGTCCATTCTGCAGTCCAGTTCCTAGGTCTCTATAATTCATGTTTAGTGAATGAATTCCGCAGTGATGGCGTTTCATGCTTAGTGATATCATATGACAGATTTCGCATTCCTTACAATTAACAATTGAGAAATATCTGAGATATTCGCCATTTTTGCTGTCAGTGCACGCAAGCTAGAAGCACGTGTGCAAGTTACTCCCGTGAGGTCGGATTTCGAATGTTCTCTCCTGAATTCAGCTATTTTTAGGGTGTTATTGTTACAATGCGGCCTTGCCGGTCTGTTATTTGGCGGTGATGACATCACATATTTGCGCAGTTTCTTCCCGGAAGCCTGGTTGGGATTACAGAAGTTTATTTTCTCACTGAGATAAGCAATGTTCATAAAAAGAACATTATTCACGAGAGAATTAACTGTTTTTCCCCAAAAAATTAGGCATTTCCGCTAAAAATTTGCGATTCCCTTACCAATTCTCCACAATAGCTGGCTTTGTGCATTGACCCCATTTAAGCTAAAAAAGCTGAATGGTAAAACTTGGATATTTGGCAATATTTCTCCCTCATTCTCCATCGTCTTCAAGATAGTCTCTACCACCGTGGACTCTTTTAAATATTAATTATAGGATATGCCACTAATTTTGTGCAGGGCGCCTAAAATATATACAGTGTTTTAAAAATAGAATTAATTAAATTCTGGCACAAAATGGCACTATTTCTAAAAAAATTAAATAAAAAATAAAAAGTGCGTTGAATTAAGCAAATTCTTAATGGGTTAGTTAATTCATTTAGTTTTTTTCCTTTCACCCTGAAAATTTACCCATTTACCCTGAGAATCTGTCCATTCAGCTTTAGAATCTGCCCATTCACTCTGAGAATGTGTCCATTTACTCTAAGGATCTGTCTATTCACTCTGAGAATCTTCCCACTCACCCTGCAAATCTGCTCATTCACTCTGAGAATCTGTCCATTCAGCCTGAGAATCTGCCCATTTACTCTGAGAATCTGTGAATTCACTCTAAGAACCTGGCCATTCACTCTGAGAATCTGTCAAGGCACTCTGTGAATCTGCCCATTCACTGTGAGAATCTGGCCATTCACTCTGAGAATCTGTCCATGCACTCTGTGAATCTGGCCATTCACTCTAAGAATCTGCCCATTCACTCTGAGAATCTGGCCATGCACTCTGAGAATCTGTCCATGCACTCTGTGAATCTGCCCATTCACTCTGAGAATCTGGCCATGCACTCTGAGAATCTGTCCATGCACTCTTTGAATCTGGCCATTCACTCTGAGAATCTGGCCATGCACTCTGAGAATCTGGCCATGCACTCTAAGAACCTGGCTATTCACTCTGAGAATCTGTCCATGCACTCTGTGAATCTGCCCATTCACTGTGAGAATCTGTCCATTCACTCTGAGAATCTGTCCATGCACTCTGTTAATCTGGCCATTCACTCTGAGAATCTGTCCATGCACTCTGTGAATCTGGCCATTCACTCTGTGAATCTGCCCATTCACTCTGTGAATCTGCCCATTCACTCTGAGAATCTGTCCATTCACTCTAAGAATCTGCCCATTCACTCTGAGAATCTGGCCATTCACTCTAAGAATCTGCCCATTCACTCTGTGAATCTGGCCGTGGCAGGGTGTGTTTAGCTGCACCGTGCTATGTGTAGACTTGACCCGAATCATCAAGCGGAGTTAATCAGTAGACAGTTGCTAGCTTACTACAGGGGACAGAGACACAGGCTGGGGGGGATAGGTATGATAAGATATGTATCCATGGCAACAATACCCAACATTGTCAGCTGGGGGAGACGGGGTGAAGGAGTCTCCATTAACTCTCTCAGAGCCAGTGATTGAGAAGGTACTTTGGGAAAACAATGTCAGAAAATTAATAAAACAAAATGCCTTCCTTAAAACGGACTTGTTTAACGAAAGTTGTTCTCTCCAATTAACGGATTTGATCACACTTTCTAATTAGCGTGTTGGGTGAGCTTTCTAATTACCACGTTGGGTGTGCTTTCTAATTAGCGTGTTGGGTGTGCTTTCTAATTAGCGCGTTGGGTGTGCTTTTTAATTAGCATGTTGGGTGAGCTTTCTAATTAGCATGTTGGGTGTGCTTTTTAATTAGCATGTTGGGTGAGCTTTCTAATTAGCATGTTGGGTGTGCTTTCTAATTAGCGTGTTGGGTGAGCTTTCTAATTAGCATGTTGGGTGTGCTTTCTAATTAGCGTGTTGGGTGAGCTTTCTAATTAGCACATTGGGTGTGCTTTCTAATTAGCACGTTGGGTGTGCTTTCTAATTAGCGTGTTGGGCGTGCTTTCTAATTAGCGTGTTGGGTGTGCTTCTTAATTAACGTGAGATGATATGGTTGGCTGAGGGTTGAGATGATATGGTTGGCTGAGATGATATGGTTGACTGAGATTATATGGTTGGCTGAGGGTTGGCTGAGGTTTGAGATGATATGGTTGACTGAGATTATATGGTTGGCTGAGGGTTGGCTGAGGTTTGAGATGATATGGTTGACTGAGATTATATGGTTGGCTGAGGGTTGGCTGAGGGTTGGCTGAGGTTTGAGATGATATGGTTGACTGAGATTATATGGTTGGCTGAGGTTTGAGATGATATGGTTGACTGAGATTATATGGTTGGCTGAGGTTTGAGATGATATGGTTGACTGAGATTATATGGTTGGCTGAGGGTTGAGATGATATGGTTGGCTGAGATGATATGGTTGGCTGAGGGTTAGCTGAGGGTTGAGATGATATGGTTGGCTGAAATTATATGGCTGGCTGAGGGTTGAGATGATATGGTTGGTTGAGGGTTGAGGTATTACTGAAATAGATATAAATGCCCCAGGTATTAAGCACTGTGGTATATATGTATGGAGGCACTGAAGTGTTGCCCTTGCTGTATAGTTATAAAAGTCAGGTGACCATCATGACCAATGTTTAAGTTGTTGGGCAGAGGTGGTGACATGGCTGTTGCTGGGTAACAAGAGGATTAGACGCAAGCCGTGAGCCGTGAGTGGGTGAGCTTTCTAATTAGCGTGTTGGGTGAGCTTTTTAATTAGTGCATTGGGTGTGCTTTCTAATTAGCGTGTTGGGTGAGCTTTTTAATTAGCGCGTTGGGTGAGCTTTCTAATTAGCGCATTGGGTGTGCTTTATAATTAGCGTGTTGGATGAGCTTTCTAATTAGCGTGTTGGGTGTGCTTTCTAATTAGCATGTTGGGTGTGCTTTCTAATTAGCGCGTTGGGTGTGCTTTCTAATTAGCGTGTTGGGTGAGCTTTTTAATTAGCACGTTGGGTGTGCTTTCTGATTAGCGTGTTGGGTCTGCTTTCTAAATAGCGTGTTGGGTGAGCTTTCTAATTAGCGCGTTGGGTGTGCTTTCTAATTAGCGTGTTGGGTGTGCTTTCTAATTAGCGTATTGGGTGAGGTTTCTAATTAGCGTGTTGGGTGTGCTTTCTAAGCATGTTGGGTGTGCTTTCTAATTAGCGTGTTGGGTGTGCTTCCTAATTAACGTGAGATGTTATGGTTGGCTGAGGGTTGAGATGATATGGTTGGCTGAGATGATATGGTTGGCTGAGGGTTGGCTGAGAGTTGAGATGATATGGTTGACTGAGATTATATGGTTGGCTGAGGGTTGGCTGAGGTTTGAGATGATATGGTTGACTGAGATTATATGGTTGGCTGAGGTTTGAGATGATATGGTTGACTGAGATTATATGGTTGGCTGAGGGTTGGCTGAGGTTTGAGATGATATGGTTGACTGAGATTATATGGTTGGCTGAGGTTTGAGATGATATGGTTGACTGAGATTATATGGTTGGCTGAGGGTTGGCTGAGGGTGAGATGATATGGTTGACTGAGATTATATGGTTTGGCTGAGATGATATGGTTGGCTGAGATGATATGGTTGGCTGAGGGTTAGCTGAGGGTTGAGATGATATGGTTGGCTGAAATTATATGGTTGGCTGAGGGTTGAGATGATATGGTTGGTTGAGGGTTGAGGTATTACTGAAATAGATATAAATGCCCCAGGTATTAAGCACTGTGGTATATATGTATGGAGGCACTGAAGTGTTGCCCTTGCTGTATAGTTATAAAAGTCAGGTGACCATCATGACCAATGTTTAAGTTGTTGGGCAGAGGTGGTGACATGGCTGTTGCTGGGTAACAAGAGGATTGGACGCAAGCCGTGAGCGAGCAAACAGCGGGCAGCAAGGTAAGAATAAAAGCAAGTAGCTGGAGTGCAACCGTCAGCCATATTCCAGGTGAGGAGCAGCCGGTCTACCCTCCGTCCCCCTATATTAATTTATTTCTTTATAATTATTGCCGTGGTGTTATAAAGCATTGGGGTAAAAATCAGGGTCGAGTTCTGAGGAAGGATACGGTGGTAAATGTTTTGAAATAAAAGGCGGTCAGGTTAGTTAAAGGGACTCTCCAGTGCCAGGAAAACAATCCATTTTCCTGGCACTGCAGGTCCCCTCTCCCTCCCATCCCCCAATCCCTGGTTGCTGCTCCTCCCCTTCATCACGTCAGCCGGCGGGGGAGACTGATCCCGCCGGCCGGCTGGGGAGACCTAATGCACATGCCCGGCAAAGCCGCGCATGCGCATTAGACCTCTCCATAGGAAAGCATTGAAAATGTTTTTCAATGCTTTCCTGTAGGGATTTTAGTGACGCATGAGGTCCTCATACAGTGTGAGGACGTCCAGTGACGCTAAACCTGTGCTATAGACCAGGAAGTGCCCTCAAGTGGCTGTCTACTAGACAGCCACTAGGGGAGGACTTACCCCTGCAAGGTAATTATTGCAGTTTATGAAAACTGCAATATTTACAGCTGCAGGGTTAAGGGTAGTGGGAGTTGGCACCCAGACCATGCCAATGGGCAGAAGTGGTCTGGGTGCCTGGAGTGTCCCTTTAAGACTGGCTGGCAATATGGTGGCTGTGAAAGTTAAAGTTTTATGTAAATATGTTTCTTGTTATAAAATCGTGGTTGTAAGCCTCTTAAGCTTTGAATAAACACTACTAATTGTGTGGTTCAAGCTGTTTATGCAGAATATTGCCAACCATACATATTGCAAATAGCTGGATTACAGTGAATTGGACTAATTTAGATGAACCCCCCATCATAATCTATAGAAGGGCACCAGGAGTTACCATATTGGAGGCTTTTAAACACGGTGTCACGGTCTCATAGCAGATTGAATCATTCTGCAACAACAGAGTTTTAATGATCATTTTCCAGCTGCACTAAATTAATGAAATACCTGTCAAACGATGGATGAACAAGTCGATATGTTCGGATTTGCATAACCAATCAGTTTATTCGCCTATAGAGTAACAAGCATTTGATTTGTTTCAGCACAGCTGAAAGGGATTTGTACTCAAGTCTAGAGAATAAATTCTCCGGCTAATGTGACATAACGGGTCTTGCCCCAGTTTGGGGTAATAAGGTTCTGCATGACTACATAATACTATAACGTGTGAGAGGGAGGGGTAACTTATCCAAATACTTCATGGGTATGGGTTTAAAGCAGTTTCTGACCTTTCAACTCCATCATTGAAAATCTCATTATTTAAAAAAAATTCAATAAAAAATGAAAAAACCTGGAAAACATGGTTTTTGGAGCAGATTGGTTGTTATTGAACAAATAAATAATCAGATTCCATCTATTATTTCCAGAATAGTATAATTTAATGAATAAATCGCCGATTTGTGGTGATAGTGATATTATTAGCCTTGTGGAGAGTGCGTTAGCGTTGGTTCAGAGTGCAGAAAATGGCACAAACCTTATTTATTTATAATCCTGTTCTCTAATCTTTAAGTTTATTTTTATTTCTGTCCACAAATGAATCTGAATTTACATATTAATACCTGTATTTGTTGGTAAACCATGTGATTTCCATGCCTTCTGACATAATAACGTGTCTTGTGTGTATAACACATTCATGGCGGTGTTAGGACGTTCATTAAAACAAACCATTTGCCAAGACTATAAGGTAAAGGGTGCGTTATGGCTGCCGGAAGCCGTATGTTATTTACTATGAACGAGCTAAGCACGATGTCAGGGAGGCAAGGTGTAAATGGTGATTTCAAGTGTTAAACATTTTTATAGATTTTTTTCCCAGGATTCTCTGGCACAGTATGCTAATTATCCCATGCCTTCTTTTCTCCGCAGAGCCTGCGCGATGTCGTTCACAAGGTCATGGCGTTACAGTCTGCCACCCGTTGCTTTATCCACAATGCAGAGGAGGCGCTGGGCACATCATTTTGGGGGGATGTGGTACTTTCCAGCTTGCCAACCGAGGTGTCCTCTTATGAGGAAGAGGTAATGACTTCTCCCTTCTTGTTTCATGGTCATTACAGAGACCGAGGATGAGAGTATCAACCATTTAATGTTCAGCTATTAAATCACCAAATATCGGTTGCTAAGTAAGATTTATTAATGTTAACCAGCACAAACACACACCATTCACTCATGTTCTCAAAGCCTGTATGTTTGGATTTGTATTACACAGCCATGTCACACCGCCGTTTGTGTCCTATTAAGAGTTAATATTTGGGAAAGGGGCCAAGTAACTTTTTACATTTTTTTTTATTCTGCATTTCTTCTAATAATAATCTGTGTTCATGTTCCCAGGACAAAACCAGCCACCAAAAACACACCGAAAATATCGAACTGGCATTTGACACGAGTTTCTTTAAAACCCAGTACGAGGTAAGGGGAAGCTCTCTAACCAGTTAAGGAGTAGTGGAGTTATGAGCTACAAGTAGTAACTACATAATAATGATTAGTTACGCTAGGATTAGTTTGGTTACTAGTTAAAGAGTAGTTTAGCTATGAGTCAGGAGTAACTTAGTGATTACTAGTTTATTAAGTAGTTTGTTTTGAGTTTCGGATTAGGAGTAGTTTTAATTACTAGGTAATTCATTATTTAGTTTTGTGGTTATAAGTAGGTGATTTCTGATTAAGGAGCAATTTAATTAGAAGTTGGAAACAGTGTGGTTTTAGTAAAGGAGTAGTTTGGTTACTAGTTAAGGAGTAGTTTAGTTAATAGGTTAGGAGTAGTTTGGTTACTATTTAATGAGTAGCATAGTTAGAATTAGTCTAGTTTCTAGTTAAGGAGTAATTTAGTTAGGAGTAGTGATGTCCCGAACGGTTCGCCGCGGACTCATCATTGAGTAAACTTTGACCCTGTACCTCACAGTCAGCAGACACATTGCAGCCAATCAGAAGCAGACCCTGCCACCTCCGGGACAGCATCCATTTTACATTCATTGTGAAGCTGCATTCTTAGTGAGCTGTCCAGGAGGTGGGAGGGTGTTCGGCGAACCGTTCGGGACATTACTAGTTAGGAGTAGTTTTTTTAATGAGTAGTTTAGTTATAAGTTAGGAGTAGTTTGGTTTCTAGTTAAGGAGTAGTTTAGTTATAAGTTAGGAGTAGTTTTTTTTAATGAGTAGTTTAGTTATAAGTTAGGAGTAGTTTGGTTTCTAGTTAAGGAGTAGTTTAGTTATAAGTTAGGAGTAGTTTGGTTTCTAGTTAAGGGGTACTTTAGTTATAAGTTAGGAGTAGTTTTTTTTAAAGAGTAGTTTCGTTATGAGTAGTTTGATTAAAGAGACTTTAGGAATCTTTAATGGTTGCTAGAGATAAGGAGTAAGTGGCTCTTTACTGTCTCATTATTAATTAATGAATAATTTACATTTTATTTGTTTTACTGCGTGTCCAAATGACTACAAACCGCCGACCCCAACGTGAGCACACCCTAATAAGGGCTAGTTTGTCCTCGCTGTGCCACTTGGGTAGCATTTTTATGTATTTGAAGAAAAAGTCGTGGCTATCCCAGTCTACACCTGGTTATACAAACAGCAAGTATTTTAAATTAGTATTTGTAAGGTAAAGTCCAGATGGTGTATTTCTGTGGATGCACACTGTAATATAAAGTACGGAGCACGTCCATGGGCTCTGCCCCAGGCTGTGATGGAGATGGGAGGTGAGGGCTGAAGATATGATAATCCTATCTGTTGTTTGCAGTTCACCTTCCCGGAGAAAGCCATAGCGGTGGCACTGCGCCGGCCCGAGGAGCGCTCACCGCAAGACATTCGCTTTATCCGCAGCATGATGATGGGAATTCTAAGCTTCCGCAGATACAGCACACACATGCAGCTCATGTTAGCCAGAGTCGTGTATTACAGGAGGTCAGTGAGAAGCAGAGCCGTAAATTAACCCACCATTATATATATCAATATCATGGCTGATGGAGATTGCTCATAGCCGACATAGACAACATACAATAAAAACACACAACAAAAGCTCGATGAAACAGAATCTAAGCTATAGTAAAGATGTGCCAATTGTATGTAATAGTTTAGGTTTTGTATTGCTGCACTGTGTGTCCACAATAAAGATATTTGCAATCAAAAAAGTACACAACAAATATATACAAATCTATAAATGTAAATTGTGTAAAAACACACAAATACATACATATGTGAAAGTCATAGAAAATGCCCCAGTCCGCATTGTACAGCACGCTGAGGGTGCCATTATTATTATACTCATCTGCGGATATTTGGGGCACTGGATTCCTATTGGCTGCAATCTCCACTTAAGGATTTATTTTATTTGCATTTTGACTCGAGTTAGTTGTTTTTTTATTCTGGATTCTCACTGCATCGTATCTCTAAAACGTAAGGTATTGTAATAGCAGCACACATAGCCAAAATCCATTAACGTACAATTGTACATTCTTATGTGAACTTTTTATACCAACATGAATGCAACAACTTATTAACGAGAACTTTATACTAAGGCTTCACGGACCCTTTGATGTTCAGAGAGGACCATTCTGTATGGTAGATGCTGTGTGGAATCATTATTGAACCCCTGTCATTACATCCGCCCAGTCAGTCCAAAAAAAGCACCATTCAGTAACTATCATCCTCTCGCTATGACTCTCTTATTTTCACAGAATTCATGTTTTTCTGGTTTTCTTCTATTTACAGGTTTGGCCGAGGGCGAGTCATTGTGCGGAAGGGACATCGAGGGGATAGTTTTTACTTTGTGTTCTCGGGGGTCATTGCTGTAACGCAGGATGTGGATGGCAGGAGTGCGCTGCTGGACCCAGAACCCATCCTGCTTCACAAAGGAACCAGTTTTGGGGTACGTACCATAAATGAGGAGCAATGAGGGATCGTTAATGAAATTACCTCACTTGTCTGACAGGAGGGGACAGTTATATTGAATAACATGAATTTGTTCCTGGTTATTTGAAGTGTCTGCACCAACATCACCTCAGCTGTGTACTCATGGCGCAAAAAAATAACAATTTAATTTTGTAAAAATATTTTGACCCGTACATTATGTGAGCACTTTGTTTTCAGTCTCCTTACTCACGATGCTATAAAAATTATGAACTTGTTTCTCAGGAAGTGGCTCTGCTGAAAGGTTTGAGGCGAAACGCGACGGTTATCTGTATGGAAGACACAGAGTTTCTCGTGGTGGACAGAAAGGAATTCTTCAGGAACAAACTGGACCAGGAACTGCAGAAAGAGCTGCAGTTTCGGTTCCAGTTCTTCAGGTACTGGAGGGAAGGGGCACGTTGTACCCCAGCACAGCTGGCTCATAAATTCACATAATTTATTAATTCTACTTTGCTGTGTAAAATAATATAATGACGTTATAAACCTGGAATCCCAGCACAGCTGGTACCTTGAATGACGTGGTTTATGTGGTGTATGTTCATTATGATAGAGCAGGTTATTGAGGAGACCACCCTCTGTTCCTTCACACTCCAAAAGTCTCTATAACCAGGAATAGGGGATCAAATCACTGTTTAAAGAGGAACATCTGTCACTTTCGCTAAAAAGAAAATATTTTCTAGAAAACTCAGCAATGCAAACAGGCAGCTTAATGTGATGGGTAGTTACTGTCATAGTCGTCTACACGTATTATTACATTATTACAATTATTACACCTATTAATACAATATTATATTACACATATTGATATAGTACTACAAGTATTAATATAATATTACACCTATTAATAGATCATATTACACATATTAATATAATATTACACACATTAATAGATCATTTTACACATATTAATATATTACACACATTAACAGATCATATTTCACATATTAATGTAATTATCGATTACATTAATATGTGTAATATGGGGGATACACATTTGATATAGTATCAAATTGCACATATTATTATCTTTAGAACCACAAGTGTTTAACTTCAAACTGGCAAAGCATCATGGAAGATGTAGTTTTACAGCTGAGCTCTATCCTTCGGCTAACCTTGATGTAGCTGATTGAATTGCATTAGTGAGTCACTGTGTGTCCTATTCTAGATACCTGGACCTGTTCTCAAGCTGGTCTGATGAGTCTCTGGAGACCTTGGCTGATCATTGCAAGATTGAAGAATGTACCCACAGCCAGGTCATCGTCAATGACACCAGCGAAACAAAAAACATTATCTTTGTCACCAAGGTAACCACTCTGAAATCAGACCCACTATTGGGTGTTCCGTATTACAGATACAATGAAACTCAATTATCGGACGTCCCTTGTAACACTTATCACGGATATCTTATCATTTGAGCCACTGAGATTATAATATGGCCATAGAGTTTAGATATTTCAAATTAACATAATTGGTTACCCCCCCCCTTACAGTATCTAACACACCGCAGTCAGGAACCAAACAAAACACGCCACATTTTACCCCACACAAGCTAAGTGAATACCAGTAGCCACACATCAAGCATATCTCCCCAACAAACGCCTCTACCCAGGGCCTGTGCAAGGATTTTTGGGTACACATGCGAAGATGATTTTGGCACCCCCCACCCCCCAAAAAAAAGCATCTTCACCTGTGTGCCTCTTAACCCGCCTTTTGTTTCTTATCCCCTTGTTAAAATGTGTTACCCCCTTTAGTGTATATTACGCCCTATTTTGTGTGTCTTACACATCCCTTGTGTAGCTCTCAAAAACCCTTTATGTATCTTACCCCCCCTAGCCCCTTTGTGTGTCTGCTTCTCTCCCAGCCCATTTGTGTCTTTTACTCTTTCCAGCTCCTTTGTGTGTTTCTCTTTCACCCCCAGCCCGTCTATCTCCCCCTCGGCCCTCTTTCTCTTTTTCCTCTTCTCCAGCCCCTCTGTGTCTTTTTCATTCCCAGCCCTTCTGTGCATCTTTCTCACCCCCAGGCCCATCTGTGTCTTACTTCCCCCTCATGTCCCTCTGTGTGTCTTTCTCCCAACTCAGGGCCCCCTGTGTGCCACTCTCCCCTCCATATCCATTAGTGGTCCTCTTCCCTGTCCCTTAGTGTTCCTCTCCCCTCCCTTCCCTGTCCCTTAGTGTTCCTCTCCCCTCCCTCCCCTGTCTCTGTGTTCCTCTCCCCTCAACTCCCCTGTCCCTTAGTTTTCCTCTCCCCTCCTCCCCTGTCTCTTAGTGTTTCCTCTCCCCTCAACTCCCTATCCCTTAGTGTTCCCCTCTCTCCTCTGTCCCTTGAGTGTTCCTCTCCCGTCCCTCCTGTCCCTTAGTGTTTCCTCTCCCCTCCCTCCCCTGTCCCTTAGTGTTCCTCTCCCCTCCTTTCCCTGTCCCTTAGTGTTCCTCTCCCCTCCTTTCCCTGCCCCTTAGTGTTCCTCTCCACTTCCTTCCCCGTCTCTTAGTGTTCCTCTCCGCTCCCTCCCCTGTCCCTTAGTGTTCCTCTCCCCTCTCTCCCCTGTCCCTTAGTGTTCCTCTCCCCTCCCTCCCCTGTCCCTTAGTGTTCCTCTCCCCTCCCTTCCCCGTCTCTTAGTGTTCCTCTCCCCTCCCTCCCCTGTCCCTTAGTGTTCCTCTCCCACCTTACCTGTCTCTTAGTGCCCTTAATTCCTTTAATGCTCCTCCCACCCCTCCTTCTTAGCGTTCCTCTCCTCTCCCTTTTAGTGGTCCCTACTAGCCCAGTGTTCCTTTTCCCTTCCCTCCCCTGTACCTTAGTGTCCCATCCCCCCTACCCCCCTTAGATAGAAATAAACACCCATGCTGCATTAACATACCCACCAAATTTTGAACAAATATTGTAGAGTGATTGGGATGCATGTCTTTCCCTCGAGGGATTATTATGTTTTGGTGAGGTGCTAATTCTTGATGGTAAAGAGACTGGGAGTGGGCAGCAGAATCTATTTAAAACAAAGAAATAGTAAAGTATGGACAAAAGTATTTAGAATATATAGACCATGCCTCGAAGGGTGACAAAGCGCAAATTAGTATCTCCATCTGTACAACTGAACACTCAGCAAGACTGCGCCATTTAAAGTATTGCACACGCCTGAAAGGACACATATACTCATGTGTGCTGTATGTAAATGCAGTATGTATGTTCTTTGTTGGCTTTTGCAGAAATAAGTAGTACCATAACAAAATTGCTAACTATTGTGGCTGTTAATCCTAACTTATCGTCCTTCCTTTATTCTTTCTTTCTTACTTTCCTTTTTCCCACAATCCCAATCACTGTTACCCAAAACCATCCCCCAGCCAGTCTGTTCTCAAACCATCACTACCCAGTATCAGCTCTTTGCTGCCCTAATCCCATCTCTTTAGGATCTGTGCCCGCACAATGTCTCCACTAGTGATGTCCCTTAGTTTTCCTCTCCCCTCCCTCCCCTGTCTCTTAGTGTTCCTCTCCCCTCAACTCCCCTATCCCTTAGTGTTCCTCTCCCCTCTCTCCTCTGTCCCTTAGTGTTCCTCTCCCGTCCCTCCCCTGTCCCTTAGTGTTCCTCTCCCCTCCCTCCCCTGTCCCTTAGTGTTCCTCTCCCCTCCTTTCCCTGTCCCTTAGTGTTCCTCTCCCCTCCTTTCCCTGCCCCTTAGTGTTCCTCTCCACTTCCTTCCCCGTCTCTTAGTGTTCCTCTCCGCTCCCTCCCCTGTCCCTTAGTGTTCCTCTCCCCTCTCTCCCCTCTCCCTTAGTGTTCCTCTCCCCTCCCTCCCGGGTGGACGCCATGCATCCCCTTAGTGTTCCTTTTCCCTCCTTTCCCTATCCTTAGTGTTCCCCTCCCCTCCCTCCCCTGTCCCTTAGTGTTCCTCTCCCCTCCCTCCCCTGTCTCTTAGTGCCCCCCTCTCTTAGTGTTCTTTTTCCCTTCCCTCCCCTGTCCCTTAGTGTTCCTCTCCCACCTTACCTGTCTCTTAGTGCCCTTAATTCCTTTAATGCTCCTCCCACCCCTCCTTCTTAGCGTTCCTCTCCTCTCCCTTTTAGTGGTCCCTACTAGCCCAGTGTTCCTTTTCCCTTCCCTCCCCTGTACCTTAGTGTCCCATCCCCCCTACCCCCCTTAGATAGAAATAAACACCCATGCTGCATTAACATACCCACCAAATTTTGAACAAATATTGTAGAGTGATTGGGATGCATGTCTTTCCCTCGAGGGATTATTATGTTTTGGTGAGGTGCTAATTCTTGATGGTAAAGAGACTGGGAGTGGGCAGCAGAATCTATTTAAAACAAAGAAATAGTAAAGTATGGACAAAAGTATTTAGAATATATAGACCATGCCTCGAAGGGTGACAAAGCGCAAATTAGTATCTCCATCTGTACAACTGAACACTCAGCAAGACTGCGCCATTTAAAGTATTGCACACGCCTGAAAGGACACATATACTCATGTGTGCTGTATGTAAATGCAGTATGTATGTTCTTTGTTGGCTTTTGCAGAAATAAGTAGTACCATAACAAAATTGCTAACTATTGTGGCTGTTAATCCTAACTTATCGTCCTTCCTTCCTTTATTCTTTCTTTCTTACTTTCCTTTTTCCCACAATCCCAATCACTGTTACCCAAAACCATCCCCCAGCCAGTCTGTTCTCAAACCATCACTACCCAGTATCAGCTCTTTGCTGCCCTAATCCCATCTCTTTAGGATCTGTGCCCGCACAATGTCTCCACTAGTGATGGAATTGTCCTCAATATCCTATCTGTGGCGTACAGATTCTCAAATGCTGTCAAGACTTGTTTAATTTAATATTCCATTAGACCCTTGGATTTAGCTACTAGCACAATCACATGTACTTACTTGTCGTCAACCCTACCCCTCCCCGTCCCTTAGTGCCCCTCTCTCTTCCCCCCTTGGTCTGCTCCCTTCCCTCCCCGGTGTGTCTCCTACCTTCTTGTAGCGTGGCCGAGAAGAGCAGAACCACGGTACAGGAGCATCAGTTTTCTGTACCTGGCTGGACTTACAGGAACTGCTCTCTCAGTGAGCACTTCTTTTCAGTCCAGCCGGGTATAGGAAACAGACGTTCCTGTACCGCGGTCCGCTCCGCCCAGCCACGTTACACCGAGTGACTGGCAGGAGGGAGCACTGTGCACCCACCTCCTGCTGGTCACTATCATCTAGCGCCCCCCGGGCCTGTGCGCCCTACGGCCTTATGGATGCTCCAGCCCTGCCTCTACCCAAAGTGGCTACCACCATAAAACTATAATTTAGTACGAACACGTACCCTCCCACCCAGAAGTCAGGATTCCAAAAGCCACTAGATCAAAGCCCCTGAAGGTGCCCTGGCCAACGGAAGACAAAAAAAACTCCTCTTCGAGGGAAAACAAGGGACCCCCATGGACACTGAACAGGTCTATCCAAAGGGTACTGTAACAATAGGAGACATGAATGTCCCAGAAACTTTTAGCTCAAGACAACGTCATGAACTAATGTAACAAGTTAGTTCTGTACTTCTGTATTTCTGTACCTAAATATCTCACTGTACTTACAGTAAATGAAACCCACAAATAAAGAATTTAAAAAAAAAGATAACTGGTTACTGCAAATTGACAATGACGGTTACTCAAGGTGTTGCCAGGGACTGGCTTTTCAATAACATTTTAGGAGACTTAATGACCTACTGATAACCATTAATGTAACTGTAAATGTGATCTACAAAAAGAGCAAAGTACTTTATTTACCAGACTGATTTCTAAACACATTGGCTTAGATACATTACTGGGACTTGCTATATAAAATCCTACGTTTAATGGAAATTCTGTGATTCTGTGAATTCTTCCTTTAATATTTCTTATGTTGCTAATATAACTGTACAAATGGCTGCATTTCCCCAGGGCCGCTGTGAAGTCCTGCGTTTGGTCGATCTCAGCCAATGTCCTTCCTTCTTAAAATGGCTTAAACAGCACGATGTTCTACTAGGACCGTCCTCACTGCTCACTCACACAGGTAAGAGCTGGGATTGGATGGAAGATCTGCAAACCAACTTCACCCACTTATCCTTTCACCAATTAGCACTTCAATAAGGCCATGTGGTCAAAATACAGAAAGGTCATACCTGAGGTCACCCAACAGAGGGAGGTCGGCTTAATTTGACAGAATGAAACTGACTTTTAAAATAATAAGAATACATTTTCTTTAATAAAATGATACAAAAGATAAACAAAATTTGGTTAAACCCTTGGTGTCTTTTTTTTTCAGGAAGGTCCGTGCAAAACACCAGGGTCCAAGGAGACACATCACATGGCAAAAAGGATGCTGGAGGTGGTTTAATTTCAGACTCAAGGTTAGTTCCTGGTCGGTAGCTGTGGGAACATCACTGATTCCAAAGGTATGAAACCATGGCTTGGTGGATACAATTTATGGTTCTGCTTCCATAGGTCCATATCTGTGGAGAATATAGCCCAGAGAAATGGACTCCCTGTGTCCTATTCTGAAACCCTCAAAGGTCTCGTTCTACCCCAAGATCTGGTGGCCGGTGTCTACCTGCGTATTGACTCGATCCACCCGGGGCAATACTTTGTGAGTTATTTTGGTTTATTTACAGACAGAAACTGAGAATAATTGAGCAGGGAATTACAATACGAGGACAAAATCGCTCATTTGGAAACTATGGTCTCAAATTCAAATTTTATATGAATGTTTATGCAATCAATAAATGCAATGATTTAATATAGCTTGTCCAATCAATATTTAATTAAGGCCTTCATATGAGATTGTCCCTCATTCTGAGCATTTTGATCTAATATTGGATATATCTCACTTAATTCCTAGAAAATCAGTTTAGAAAATAATATTGATTTTGTCTGTTCATGAAATATTGGTGCAACACCATAAACAAATCTCTATATAATGCTGCTCCCACCTATCTATCCTCCCTAATACACAAGTATGTCTCGTCTAGGCCCTTACGCTCTGCTGAAGACTTACGTCTATCTTCTGTCCATACTCCCACCTCTAATGCTCGCCTTCAAGACTTCTCCGGGGCTGCACCGTTCCGGTGGAACTCCCTTCCCTCCTCCGTTAGATGCTCACCCAGTCTCCACTCCTTAAAAAAATCATAAAAAATTAACTTCTTCATAAAAGCGTATCAATTAAACTATAAATAGCTCCTGAATGATTCCTCTCTTACAACTGTCATTAGTCTAATGCTGTCCTTACCTTTTTGTGTCACTTTACCCCACTCCCTCCAGCATGTAAGCTCATTGAGCAGGGCCCTCAACCCCTCTGTTCCTGTGTGTCCAACATGTCTGGTTACAACTACATGTCTGTTCGTCCACCCACTTGTTGGCGCTATATAAATAATAACATAATATAAATAATAACATAATAATAAACCAAGCTTTTATAGAGAGGTACTGACACCATACACAGAGCTTTATAGAGAGGCACTGACACCTTACACAGAGCTTTATAGAGAGGTACTGACAACATATACAGAGCCTTATAGAGAGGCACTGACACTATCTATGTATATATTTAACCCTTAGAGAGGTGTGGACGTGGACTACATTGAATCCTGTTTGGAACGAGAAGGTAGACTGATCCCGGAGCAGGTATGGTGCAGATTGGGTGTGGGGGGGGACGATGACACATAGTGTCAGGAGGCTTTTCATATGGAAAATAAAAACATACTCCAGGCAAGCATAGCCCCTGTCACGCATTCTAATGCATTATGGAGATAATGTACAAAATAATATAAAATGTTATAAAACAAACTACAATATCAATTTCCCATCCAACGTGGGCAAATGGCTAAAGTTAAATCTTAGCCCGTGCTAAAACCACCCCCAGTTGGGAATAAGCTGTGTCATTAGCCATCTATGAGCCACATTTTCTGGAGATTAGTCACTAATATTGAAAATACAATGAGGTAAACGGAAATTTCAAAATTTAGGAAAATTGGAAAAATCCCTCAACTTAGCTGTTTCGAGCTATGCTATGTGCATGCAATGGGCGATCCCTCGTCAGAAGCCACAATTCCTGTATGTAGGGAATTCCCTGGGGGCACACCACAGGGGAAAATGGCTATAACTCAATATTAACCAATGCCAATCCCACACGGCATGAGTTGACCCTTCTAAATCTCACGTATTGTGTCTCAATGAAACCATAGCAGAGGGCACCACCTGACACAATACACAGTTTATTTGCAGATTACTAACTGAGCAATTACTGCTTCTCCAGACTCTGACCTTCATCCCCACCGACAGCCCCAGAGATCCCAGATCCATGGTCATCGTCAGCCAGGGCGCAGATATCATTCGGATTAAATTGGATAAATTCACAGAATTGGCAGATCTCAAGACTTTAAAGAAACTCAAGTCAGAAATGACCGGATATCCCAGGTGAGGTCCGTCACATCAGACCCATTCCTTATAGCTCGGTCAGTGTGAGCAGCTGTGACTCGAAGCGGACATTGCAATATAGCGACAGAGAAAAGGTTGATAGATAAGTGTCTGTTCACTGCCCATCCATTGTATTGAATAGAGTCCCGACAATCATACTTCAGCATAGGCCATTATACTGATTTAGTAAAAGTGTATTTTCTAAGATCAACATGTCTACTAAGTAGAAGAAGTCTTCTCTGATGCAGCTTCAGCTCACCTTGAAAGCAACTACAGCACATGCGTGACAATACAGTGTAGTTGCTGTGATTATTCCCTGCTGACTGTGAGATTAGAAGAGCCCCATTCCTTGCTAGAGGCTTCACTTTATTCACAAGCTAAACATGTTAGCATGGTCCCTGGCATCATATGGAGGAAGTGGTTTGCATTGGAACGCGCTGTTAGATAGGAGGTGGGCAGTACGGAAAGGCGGTAACACTTACAAAAATGTAACAATGGCGACAGTGAAAGGGCTGAAAAAGAGCTAAATATTTAATTAAAAATATTTTTAAACAATACATCAATTAGATTAAGGTTAATTGTGTATTCAGTCCATATTTTTATGAAAACTAGAAAACTGAAACAAAACATTTACTTTAAAAAAAATGGATGAGGGAACGGAAAGTCTCCAATAAGCAAACTGGACTTTTAATACAAAGAGTTAAAGCTGTTTTGGGTCATGATTCTCCACGTTAGGGACTGCCAGAGGCGATGCCCATAGTTATCATGTAAGATCCAGTTTTCATTTCAGATATTGTAGCTTAGAAATTTCTAATTTTTAGGTAAAGTAAGTCTTGAATGCTTTCCTCCTCAGTGACAATGACCTCTGCAGAGTCTTCCTTGAGCAGAACAAATGGAAGGTGTTTAAGTCAGACCTGGTCAATTGTCTAAGCTCCACTCCAAGCCTTCACCCAAAGCTGTACCCTCACATGGAGAAAGGGAAGGGTGATCGGAATCAACAGTGCGCAGACAGGAGTGGGATTCTACAACTGGGCACCCGCAAAACACGCTCTGCAAAGGTGGGTATCACTTTGGTAACCCCTAGGTCAGACTATGGAGCGATAAGACAGTTACCCAGCAAGACCAAGGAACACAGATTATTGTCACGAACAATGTCTGTGATGGAAACAGATATTAAACAAGAGCAGCTAAATTTAATGACGAAACTCGATCTGTTAGTGTACAACATCTCCAATAAACCTTTGAGAGCTGGTAGAGCTGTATGGGTGTTACTCACGTAATGCCCGGAGTTTGATTATCCCTGATACAGACTTTCATGAAACAAGTGATTGCACTCATGGATCATGATTCACATATTATGTGATTGTCACAATTCGGTAGGGAAACCTTCTTAATTCTTCCTATTGAACCGAGGTAATGTGAGAGCGTTAAATAGCACTTTATCTACTAGTGGTGAGTTGAAAACGGAATGAAGGCCTAACGACCCAAGTCTGTAATTCAGATGAAATTGGTATTTTTTTTTTTTTTTTTTTATATTCTTTATTTTTGTTCGCATCGCATATACAAAGTTTAGATTGCATTACAGCGCCATAAGCAGTGGAAACAGTTTAAGCAGGTTGTAGAGTATAATAGCAACCATTAGTGCGTAGCCACTTAGCATCGGGTTGGCATATGCGACATGGGTTTTTTGTTTTTTGTGATGTAACAATTTTTAACTGTCAACTTGAAAATATAGATAAAATAGAGAATAAGAGGAAAATACCCCTAGAAATATACATTGCATCCTCTGCTTCCAGGGCGCTGTGTTAGGTTGTATCGTGAGGAATTGTGTTGTGCTATGTGTGCGCCATGCGCTTAAACAGAGGCAGGTGCCAACGTGGCATTGAGGCATTAATAGGGGTAAAAATGGGGGGGGGGGAGGGGGGGAATACTTTTGGTGGTACTACGGCTTAGCAAGGTTGCCTACGGAGCCAGAGAAATAATAACATATGAAACTTCAGAAGTAAGAAATTATATAACTGTCAATTATGACATGCAGGAAACAAATAGTTCAGTCGGTGTCAAGCTGGGGGGTCCGCCGACCCCGCCAGTGCATATCGTGGGACAAATGGAGGGATGTCTTCTACTGCCCGTGTTCTTCTGTCCCGTGGTGATAGGGCTTCTGCTGAAACTCCCAGTGCTTGGAGGAAGGCAGGTGCATCTTGGAGTTGCGAGAGCGGGAACTTCTTGCCATTTTTCTCTGCCACTAGGTGGTGTGGGCCCCATCTGTACGGGATGTCAGCCTCCCTCAGCAGCTTTGTAGCGGAGCGGAGTGACTGCCTCCATTGCATGGTTGCTCTTGAGAGGTCCTTGTAGAAGGACAGCTGCGAGCCTTCAAAAGTCAGTGAGGGAGATACTCTTGTGGTTCCCAGGACTGCAGACTTGTCAGAGTCCCTCTGAAATTGCAGCAGCACGTCCCTGGGTGCCTCTGGGGGTGCCTTGGCTGCCTTGGGCAATCGATGGCATCTGTCAATTACAGCTTGCTTGGCTTGCTTAGGTGTTAGCAGTGTGGCTAGCAATCGCCTTATGTAGTGAGGCAGTTCATCTGGTGAGGTGGATTCAGGTATGCCTCGTATCCTTATATTGCGGGCTTTAGCCCTGTCTTCCAGACCTGCCAGTCGCTGGCTCATTTCGCCACATTTCTTTTGTAGGGTATGGAGCGTAGCCTCTGTGGCTGATTGTGCCAGATGTGTACCTCCTAGTTCTCCTTCCACTGCCTGGACACGGCCTGTCAGCTTAACGACATCCTCTCTTACCACTGCTATGTCAGCTTGAAACATGGCCTTGAGGTCCTGCAATAAGGCTTTAATATCTGCCTTGGTTGAAGGGGCAGCGTCCCCAAGTCCCACATACCGGGATTGTGTGTTCATCGTGGCTGGTATCATGGCAGAGAAATCTTCCTCTGGTGTGTTCTCAGCTTCCGACGAAGCCGTGGAGTAGGCCGTGGTCGGCGCCATCTTGGGCTGCACGGGGTACTGCGACTGTTTGAATAAATTGCCTATATCTCGGCAGCCGATTCCAGGATCCACTCGCTGCTTTTTGGAGCGGCGCCCCATGTTCCCAGGACCCAGTGGAGCTCGTTTTGGGCTTTGTGTGTGCCCAGTGGGTAGGTACATTCGCCGTTTAATCAGCCGGCGGCTCGGAGCTTGCAGAGGATGCGACCGTCTCGCTTGGGCGCTGGCTCCGCCCCCCGAAATTGGTATTTTTAATTAAAAGTTGCACCATACCAGACTGTATGCAACGCTGACAAAGACTGTTGCGTGGGATTTTCTCCTTAAATGACACATTCTTCATTAAATTTAGTCTCAGCTTAGAGCAGGATCCTCATACATTGGCTCAGTAGATTTGAAATGTAATGGTCTTCTTACTTATTATAGGTATGAGAGAATTGGCATTAACACAAACACTAATCTGTCTGGCATATCCACAAAGACAAGTTTAATGAGATCATTATGTACCAATTAAAATATGCAGCTATTTGGTCAAGGAACCTGCTGTGATCACTTAAATCTTCCAAATATATACTTATCAATCCAAATGACTTATTATTATTATTTTTATATTTATATAGCGCCAGCAAATTCCGTAGCGCTGTACATCATTTCACGTTATTACGTCAGCCAGTCTGATCATTCTCATTCTTTTTATTCTAGTTCTGGACAACGCCAATAAACCCAAAAGCCCCCGAACCGGGCAGAAAGGACCATAAGCCACATAATTCCACCCAGGGGTCCATCCGATTGATCCACGGGATCGATATTCCTAAATTGTGTGGGAAGAGGGTGATGTGGTGATGGTGGCTGCGGATACTAACGAATACCCCAGAAAGACGGCATCTCTGGATTTAGCAGAAGAGGAAATGTTATCCTAATCACACTGTAAATTGCTTCCAGGGACAATTCCAACTTTACCAAAATATATAACTTTCATCTACAGGAAAACTACATCAAATATAATGATGGAAAAATGTGTTGGCTTTATACTAAAAATAGGCTTGCCTATTAAAGGGACACTATAGTCACCTGAACAACTTTAGCTTAATTAAGCAGTTTTGGTGTATAGATCATGCCCCTGCAGCCTCACTGCTCAATTCTCTGCCATTTAGGAGTTAAATCCCTTTGTTTATGAACTCTAGTCACACCTCCCAGCATGTGACTTGCACAGCCTTCCATAAACACTTCCTGTAAAGAGAGCCTTATTTGGGCTTTTTTTATTGCAAGTTCTGTTTAATTAAGATTTTCTTATCCCGTGTGTGAAGAAATGACTCCGTTCATCAGGATTTCTACCTTTGTTGCACAAGTTAATTCACCCAATTCAGCTGGAATTCGGCATATAGCTATAATTTCTACCCTTCGAATGGATTCAGGCGAATTCCCCGTGTAAACTCTAGGTGGCCGCCATTTCGGCACTTTACACGTGGTCGCGGCCATTTTACGTGCGAACAGCGGTGTTTGCCCGTCAAACGCGTGGAACTAAAATCGGATACACAAACAGGCGAACACCGCTGAGACCTCCATACATCCAGAACTTCGCACGGAAAAAACCGAATGACCGGCCGTTCGGTAGTTACATGCAACTTCGTATGGGGATTTCAACGACCACGAAGATGCGAACGGATGGCAGGACTTTCGTCTTTTTTTATTCGCCTAAACGGAGACCGACCGCAGGGCCAAAACTTATGGAACTATTTTCGGCTAGATGATCCGTGCGGTCGGTCAAAACTTTAGTGCTCCATAACTCCCGAACCATCCATCCGAATGGACTGATTTTTTGACATATTGTCCCCACAAGTGAACACTATCCAGCGGTGCCCAATTTAAAGGTGTACCCCCTGTTTTTGGGGTACATCCAGAACTGGGGTAAAATAGTGCACGTTTTAATGAAGTTAACTGTTTATCAGAGGGGAGGGAGGTAGGGGCTGTAACCTGTACCTGATTGGTGATTTAATGCCTCCCCCTGGGTGTGTATTTTGTGTCTGTAACCCTAATAAAAAGCAGGCTGGAGATTCCAGACCTCAGACCTACTTGTATCCTGATTCTGGACTCTGACTGTTATTTGGGAATTCGTATGCTTTACCAAGGGGATTATCTTGGGAAGCTGTTATATTTCTTATGGACTTCATTGTTTAGAACTACCTTAGACGCTGGCATTGCAGGAGGAATTATCAAAGCGGTTCAGCTATACTGGATTTCCTTACACCGTGCTATGTTAATAGCTTGCTAGACCCTGCAAGAGCCTCCTGTATGTAATTAAAGTTCAATTTACAGATTGAGATACAATTATTTAAGGTAAATTACATCTGTTTGAAAGTGAAACCAGTTTTTTTTTTCATGCAGGCTCTGTCAATCATAGCCAGGGAAGGTGTGGCTAGGGCTGCATAAACAGAAACAAAGTGATTTAACTCCTAAATGACAGTGAATTGAGCAGTGAAATTGCAGCGGAATGATCTATACACTAAAACTGCTTTATTTAGCTAAAGTAATTTAGGTGACTATAGTGTTCCTTTAAGGTAAATTTAAAATATATATTTTTTTTTATTACATATTGATATTTGACTTTATTCACACCTGCTCTGTTAGGTGTACAAGAAATGTAAAAAGATACAAAAAAAAACAGCA